TAGTTTTGGGTCACATCGGTGATTGGGATGATCAGTAAGGCTTCAGCTAAACCTTGAAGAATGTAATAATTGATCTAGACCGCAACTGTACCCTAAACCTAGGACCAGGTGCAGAGTAAGCAGGTGAAATTCAAAGGAAGTTAATTAATAAGTTATTTAGAATCAGAATCTACTAACAGATTTTTTTTTTTTTTTTTTTTTGGCTAACATTTCCTTGCTTATGCCACACAATCAAGCAAGAGCTGATATTTATTTTAAGGTAGAAGGAGATACATGAGTAATATATAATGAATCATAGATATTTATGAACCAGGAAAAATAACTGAACATCAACTAAACTCATGTAAATTAAAAGAAATAAATAAAACGACGCTGAGGATACAAAGTAGTAGCTGAAATGTTCTTGACTATAGTACCCGTCTTTTCACAGATAAATCTAAATGTATCTTCTAACAAATGCCTCAAAGGCAATGACTATAATTATGCTTACAAAACTTTCTCAAACTTTAAAACGATTAGCCCAAGCTACACAACAAAGGCACAAAAGAAGCATTTCTCCACTATTCAAAACTATGCATGTGCTTTAAAAAACGTTGTCAGAATTTCAACAATATGGTCACACATACAGCCAGGAGAACAAGTCCTTTAAATATGCTTAAAATAATGCATCCTGTTTTTAAAAATCTTTTTAGGTGTACATGTTAAACAACAGAAAAGGAAGGCAAACTCTGAAATATGAAAAATGATGTGGGTGGGGAGACTGCAGCTGGAGGAGCTGCCACGTAATTGTTGTTGTGTGAAGAACTGCAGTCCTGTTGAAATATCAGCTGGGACTCGGGCAATGAGAGCGATTGCACAGATCGGTAGTACACAAGAGTGGGTTCCAATGTCCTCATGGAGGAAAGAAGAGGGAGGTTTGAGGCTTGGGCCCCTGCATGGAGCCAGGATTGTCAAAGTTCTTGGAAAAAAGTAAGTGTGGGCTAAAGAAAATTTGTTTGGCTTGGCTTTGAACCAAATCCCATTTAGCAAAGAGGTGGGATAAATACTTCTTTGGAAATTAGTAACTGCAAATCTGCTCTCATAGTGCAGGGGCACTCGAATCAAGAAATTAACTTAAGGTGTTCTAGTGCTTCCATCTTTGTAAAGTTTCAGAGCAACTATCCAAAGCAAAGAAATATTTCTGTGGAAGAATGCACCCAAACCCCAGGCCTTGCATGGTTCCAATAAGATTAGCAAAATATGAGATCGCAATTTAAAATCATAAAATATACCACTAAACAAGACACCATGAGTGAGATACTGCAGAAACATACAATCATCTAATGTAATATATATAAATAAAAAATGTAACTATTGGGGGGCCTGGGTGGCTTGGTTGGGTGGGTGTCTGACTTTGGTTCAGGTCATGATCTCACAGTCTGTGAGATTGAGCCCCATGTCGGGCTCTGTGCGGGCAGCTTGGAGCCTGGAGCGTGCTTTGGAGTCCGTGTCTCCCTCTCTCTCTGCCCCTCTGCCACTTATGCTCTGTCTCTCTATCAAAAATAATATAAAAAAATAAAAAAAAATTAATGTGATTGTTAATTTAAAACCTTAATAGGTTTAATGGTAGCTTAAACATAAGTGAACAAAGGATTAGTGAAATAGTAGGCAGAAATGAATAATAACATGGTAAAATAATAAAACAACAAAACATAGGTACAGAGATACGATATTCTAACTTCTAAAATAACAAGTTTAGCATATAACTTAGATTTTCAGAATAACAGAATACAGAATATGAGGGGAGAGAAAATATTCCTATTCAAAAAGGTAATGGATTTTCCAGAATGGATGAAAGACACCAATCTTCAGATTGAGGACCATAATGAATCTCAGACAGAACAAATACAGAACTCCACATGAAGACATATGTAATTTAAACCTCAAAACACCAAATTAAAGTAGATATCACAAAACCAGCCTAAGAAAAAATTAAAACTATTTACAAAGAAAAAACTTCTATATGACGGTGATATATTTAACTTAGGCAAATTACTCCCTCAGTTCTCTATTTAAGTCCTTCCTGTAGCTATCTAAAACACATTACAACAAACACACACACACGTTAAACATTATATATATGTGTGTATTTGTGTGTGTATGTATATATATGTATACGCATATATGTATGTCATGTACATGTATATATACCATACATATAACATTTATATATATATGTGTATATATATATGTGTGTATATATATATACATACACATGTTATTTTATATATACTTAGGGGTGCCTGGGTGGCTCAGTCAGTTAAGCATCCGACTTCAGCTCAGGTCATGATCTCCTGGTTTGTGGGTTCAAGCCTTATGTTGGGTTCTGTGCTGGCAGCTCCGAGCCTGGAGCCTGCTTCATATTCTGTGTCTCCATCTCTGTCTCTGCTCCTCCCCCTCTTGCACTGTGTGTCTCTCTCTCTCAAAAATAAACATTAAACAAATTTTTAAAAATATACTTGAAATTATATATATATGAGCTATACTCATACTTTACAGGGAAGTAATCTATGTTCCACTTTTAGAACTTTTTTTTTTTTTGACAGAGAGAAGGAAAGCACCTGAGTGGGGGAAGGTCAGAGGGGGGAGAGAGGGAGAGAGAATGAGAGAGAGAGAGAGAGAGAGAGAGAGAGAGAATATCTCAAGGAGGCTCCATGCTCAGCTCCAATCCCAATGTGAGGCTCAATCCCATGACCCTGTGATGATGACCTAACCTAAGATCAAGAGTCGGATGCTCAACTGACTGAGCCTCCCAAGCGCCCCACTTTTGTTGTTCTTAACTGAATAAAGGATAAATGGGGCATAACAGTCAACAGTGCCAGCTTTGGAATCTGATTTCCTGTCAGGGCTTGAATTTTAGTGTCACTATTATTTATCCATATGACCTTATAGATAAGAAGCTAAATTTTATAGTCTCAGTCTTCTACTTTATATGGAATGCCTTCAGCTTCAACCTCTCTAAAATAGAGGATATTCATACGAACAAATTCTTCATTTTGTAGTAAAAAATCTATTGACTTAATTTATTGTATGTTCTTAACAGAGTGACCAAAATAGAATGAATATTTAGGAACCATGAACTGAATTGCACCCCTTCCCCCCTTCCATTCCAATGTTGAAGCCCTACGCTTAGTGAGGTCATGGGGGTGGAGTCCCATGAAGGAATCAGTGTTCTCATAAGAAGAAGAAGAGAAACCAAAACTTTGGATATTCTGATCTCATTGGCAAGCTTTAAGCTATCCAAGGCGGAGGATATTGACTGTCATTCATGTAATGTCTCTGACTGATGCTTGAAACTCACCAAAGAGGTTTCTGACACGTGTTTTCTTTCTACATAAAATATTCACAGGTAAAGAATATACCTATCATATATACTCTGAATGTCTAATTTCTGGGACAGCGATTTCTTGTTGTAAATTAATAAATGTTCTTTATTATATATCACTTTTATAAACATGGAAATCTGCTTTTGACAGATGGATCATGGAGTAACAAAATCAGGTCTTTGAACATGAACAAGTGTGTCAGATCAAAGCCATTATGAATTCTTCATGGTGTTGCAACCTTGTAAGAAGTCTTGAGAGAATCTATTAACCTTCTTCCCTAGGGTGGAGGAGAGAGGTGTGGCGGTACTCCTCTGCCAAGTTTAATTTATCTAACGTTCAGCTTTAACCTTATTTGTCTTCAGGGTTGTTCACAAGCACCCACCTTTCGTGTTCTATAGTGTCAGAAATAATTTATTTCTCTTTCTGTCTCTCCCTTTTCACCCTCTCTTGTTCTCTCTCTCTTATAAATATTAATCTTGCATCTAGGGTAATGGTTGTTTCCCCTGGAATCCTAGAATTCACTGCCTCATTCTTTCAGGGTACTATCTTCTCTCCTGAACCACATAGCATTTTCACAAAGATCATTACCTCCCCAAATCCTCATATCATTAGAGGAAATTATAGGGGCTGACATGTTTAGGGGGCATTATTTGAAGTATGTGATAAATGACTGAAGGCAGATTAATATTTCTGGCACTTCTGTCAAAAACCCATTATTCTGAGTAAAAATGAACAAGCAGGTACCAACACAGGTGAAACTAGGATGATTTTACCTGTTCTATCTTCGAGGTCCACTAAAACAATCCTTCAGAGGAGGGTTCATGCTTTTCTTCATAGTTCAGCTCATGCTTTTCACAGAATCCTTACACCATACATATTAGGATCAGGGGCCAGCAGAGGAGCGACACTATAATTTCCTCACCATTTTCCTTACTATTCTTTTGTAGTTCTAGATCTCTATCAATAGACTCCACCTCTCATAATTTATTATGATTTCCTACATTAGTTTCTTCTTGTAATGGGAAAACATATCACATTTTCACAACATGATGAAATTCTATATAAATGAACAGAAGTGCTGTAAATTGTTTTAGCTTCTCGGAATTAGCTTATTCTATTGCTCCACCTGCCATAATTAGTAGTAAAAGCTCATGTTTTTGAAACATAATTTTGAAATAAATTTTAACAGACAGATGAATTTTTATAGATTTTTTCATAAATGAATGTATAATATATCTACATTTTATAGTATGACTTTTACACCTTCTTATGGAAGAGGTCTTATTAATAAATGAAAAACAAGCACATGTTTTAGAATATTCAGTCATCCAATATGACACGTCAGCAGTTGTTTCTCCACAACCAAAATTTTAAATACTAACTTTTCTCCTCTAATATTGAACTTTGGAGATGTTTTAAAACCCATCTTCATTAAAGATAAAAAATTTCCCAATCTTTATTAAAGTTATTCTCAAGAAGAATAGGGCAGTAGAAATGTCTTCCAAAGTCTACTAAAAGAAAAAACAAACAAACAAAAAACAACAGGACATATTGAAGAAAAATAAAAACCCAATCACACAAGCACGTTGAAGATCAGCTTGAATTAACCAACACAATTTGAAATCACTGACTCACTTTGAACTCCATGGGAGCGTACTATTTTCCAGGTTTCTGATGCCACTTCTTTGACATCCACTTGATAGTGATGAATGGGCACACCTCCATGGGAGTCTGGCTTGTTGAAAGAAACCTTGGCTGTGGTCTGTGACAACTCTATAATCTTCACTCCATAGGGACTGGATGGCACATCTACGAATGAGTAGAAACAAAGGAAATGTAAGCCAGGTAATATGGATGACCATTATTTAAACTTATGGTATTTTGAAAATTAGGAATAAAGGAAAATTTCTCCCTGTATTGCTTATTATGTTTGAATTACAAAGCTTGCATAAACTGCTGAATAATGTGTTCAAGTTACAAGAAAGTACACATTAGTCAATCTTTATAACTACAGCAAATAAAGATTAAAATATTCAATAACAAATTTAATTGATTGAGGCAGACATGTTACTTCTACCTTTTCTATACAATATTAGGATTTTATTTGCATTCATGGAAAACAATCTCCTGTGTGTGTATGTGTGAGAGAGAGAGAGAGACAGAGAGACAGAGAAAGACAGAGAGAGAGACAGAGAGAATGCAGATACAATGAAAAATATAAGAAAAATTAGGGGCGCCTGGGTGGCTCAGATGATTGACCATCCGACTTTGGCTCAGGTCATGATCTCACGTTCATGGGTATGAGCCCCTCATGGGGCAGTGCTGGCAGCTCAGGGCCTGAAGCCTGCTTCGTATTCTGTGTCTTCTTTTCTCTCTGCCCCGCCCCTGCCCACACTCTGTTTCTGTCTCTCAATAAACAAAACAAACAAACAAAAAACAAACAAACATATTTATATGAAGAAACAGACTTTACTGAATTATTAGTATAAATAATTCTCTTGTGAAAATATGAGATTTATTTTTTTCTTGTTCATTAAAATTATATTAATAATTCTGGGAAAGTATTAAGTTTAGAGCACATGCCATTATGAACTAAATAAAATGCCAACTGTCTGTTTTAGTTTCATTTATGTATAATTTAACTAAAATAAACCTTTATTTAAAATATTTAAGTTGTAATCCTTGTATTAAAAAAACAGAAAATCTTTATTGTGTGTGTTTTTGTATCAAGCCATTACTCATATTATTTAAAGCTCAATAAAGTATCCTGAAGGAAACTTTATTTCATTTTCTAGCAGACAAAAATTTATACACAATTCTCAAAAATTCTAAGGAGGTAAGAGGAGACAATAAGGGAGAAAAATCTCATTGAGGAAATTGATGAAACTTCTACTACAGAAACATGAAGAATTAGAGTCACATTAAACATTGAAGGGATCCCTGTTTATGTCTCTCAATTTATCTTTCTTTTTTTTCCTTGGGTGCAATAATATTTACACCCAAGTGGGGCTCAAACTCAAGATCCCAAGGTCAATAATCACATGCTGTACTGACTGAGCCAGCCAGGAGCCCATGTCTCTCTTTCTTTTCAATATAACATTTGACATAATCATAAAATTGGAAATTTACATAAATTTTACTTAAAATGTATGCACATTATAAAATATATATTTAAATATGCCATTTTATCTCTGAACATAATTTTATAAAAACAAAAAAACATGATTGAAAATAACACAGTAAATGCAAATTCCTATTCTGATACAATCAAACATTCATATAGAAATCTCTAATGGCTGTCAAAAGTCAAATGTCCCTTGTTTGCTGAAGCTGAAGGAGAGCACTGTAGATCATATCGAAATATGACTTACAAATGATAATGGGCAAAAGCCAGGAGGTCAGGTTTTTGGCCTTTTGGATGTGAATACTGCAGAGAAATGCAACTATGTCCATTTCAGCTCTAATTAGTAACTGTAAATTATTTGGAGATCCTATTTTAAGTGAATTATGGTATAACTCCAAAGTTGGAAATAAATGTGTAGAATATCAATTCTTCTCAAAGTCATACTGCTATTAAAATCTTATCTGGAAATAAAAATTGTATGTTATCTGAATAACCTATGAAAAGTCACCATACATAAACATTAGTATAGTTTCATGTTTCTTTAATCCCTAGATTATAACTGTAGGTTCTTTTTATCTGTAGGTTTGACCTAAAGTTTACAGAAAGGAAACACACACACACACACACACACACACACACACACCATCACATTGACTGTTTATGAGACTGACAATTCTTCACCCCATACCTGTGACTCTCTAATGTCAACTAGGCCTGAATTGGACATAATGGCAATTATAATCTTCATTTTAAGGATACATTTAAAAAAGAAAGATATTGGGGTGCCTGGGTGGTGGGTAAGTGCCTGATTCTTGATTTCAGCTCAGGTCATAATCTCATGATTTGTGAGTTACAACCTACATCAGGTTCTGCATTGACAGTGCTGAGCGTGTTTGGGATTCTCTCTGTCTCTGTCTCTTTCTCTTTCCCTTCCTCCAAGTAAATTAACTTTAAAAAAAATTAAAAAAGAAGTACTGAAGTGGGGAGAGGGAGATGTGATAGCCCTTGGGCTCCACCTTTGACCACACATATGGAATGGACATGGTCCTTGGTTTTCACTATGACCACAGAGATATGCACTATTGGTTGGGCTCTGCACTTGATATGATACAACTACAGATAAATAGAGGCCTTTATTCTTAGCATAAAGGTACCATGACCGAAACCTGGTCATGACCAAGCAGGTATCTTTTTCTAGTCAAATAGTCTATTTTCAGACCTGTTGACTCTTACTTTGGTTTTTCATTTTTATTTATTTTTTCTTGGCCTCTTCTTTCTGTTACTTGACTAAAATAAAAGCATGCTTATAACTAGTATCTTCCTAATTTATTTTATTTTATATTCTGATTTTATATGTCCAATCACTTACTGACTACCAAATTATTTCATATATATATACCCACTGAGTAAAGGGACTGGAATGTACTCAGTCCCCAAGAAATATATGATGAATTAAACATTTCAGTAATTAAAAATAGTATACAGAAGTACAGAATATATTCAAGTGAATAGAGCTTAATACGCCTAGACCCAATATCTCTAATTATTCACTCTCTTAATTGTTTTTTAATCACATTCGTTCTTGAGTCTATCTCTTATATACATCACAATAAGTCACAAAGTTATTTCCATCATTCCCACATCATAATTTTTGTGTTCAACTCCTTCTTCCTGTTTCCACTGTTAAGCCCAAGTCCTATCTGCCTCTACTGCAATGCCATTAGTGGTTCTTGGCTTCCTTTCTTATTGGACATCCCACCAAATTTCAATCCATGTGGTGTGTAAGTGCAAAATAAATCTTTTTATTTTTTTAAATTTTTAATGTTTTATTTATTTCTGAGAGAGAGAGAGAGAGAGAGAGAGAGCAGGGGAGGGTCAGAGAGAGAGGGAGACACAGAATCTGAAACAGGCTGCAGGCTGTGAGGTAGCTGTCTGCACAGAGCCTGACGCGGGGCTCGGACATATGCACTGTGAAATCATGACCTGAGCCAAAGTCCGACGCTTAACTGACTGAGCCACCCAGGCGCCTCATTTTTTAAAAAAAAATTTCTTAATGTTCAAAATCAATCTTTCTAAAGCACCACTCTAATCACGTCATTTCCATGAGCTGGGTATTCAGAAGCTTCCTCCTCTTTATAACATGAAGCTTAGACCTTTTAGTCTGGCTTTCAATATCCTGAATTACCTAACCTCACTGGGTCTATACAAACGGAGGATCATATTGTAGAAGGCTATCAAACACAGTCCAATGTTTCAAGTGGGGCTTATGGATCTTGAATTCCATACACAAAGCTTCCATCATTGTTAGTATATTTTTTCTAAACTACACTTGGCACCCTCCATCTCAATAATTAATGAAAGTCACCCATCAGTGAATGAATAGAACAACTGTACAAACCATGTTTTCTTTATTCATTCTTTTCACCTCTACTAGAACCAATATAGAGTTGGATGAAGAGCCTGGATATAGATCATCAGAATCTACGGATACAAAGTCTTGCTTTGCTACCCTTCTCAGCTGCAATCTTGGACAAATCTTGTCTTTTCAACCATCAGTATCTTTCTTTCTACACTGGAGATTAGAGTAATACCCACTGCTAAGGTTGCTCTAAGTATCAAGTAATGTGTATCATAAAACAGAACGTGAGATACACTAAGCACTTAGTCATTGTAATTTTGTTATCCTTCCCTGATAACCATACTCCTTCTATTGTGCATCCACTGACACCTACTAATATTTTAGTTAAATGGAAGGTAATAGGTCTAACACTGAGGTTCAGCTTAGAAATGTGAACAGTGTGTAAAAGCAAAGCATTGGTGCCCTAACTTAGGAGTAGGACAGAAACAATCTTTAGCAGTTTGTTGTAGGCATTGCTGGATGACCCTGCACAAATTAAATGTATTGGCTTTTAGTTTCATTATAAACAAAAAGGTAATAATGCCAGCACTGAAGTTGCTGTTGTGAGGTTATGTTGCTGGATATGAATCACTGGAAATTCACAAAAACTATTTACCCTTATCCTTTCTATAAAAAGGTTGTCAGTATATACATAATACTGATGAACTTTTTGATATTATGCATATCCCTAAAGTCATAGTTTGGTCAAAGTAAAAAAAAGCAAAAACTTCTAAAATGTCTGCCTTGGTGATTATTTTATCTTGTAAAAGATCAAGAAACATTGGAAAAGTTTGACTTTAATTTTGATAAAATAAAAGAACGGAATTAAATAAAGAGGAACTAGTAAGTGAAGTAGAAGAACATGAAGCCGGGTCCCTGGGTGGCTCAGTCAGTTGGGCGTCCGACTTCGGGTCAGGTCATGATCTCCTGGTTTGTGAATTCGAGCCCCGCGTTGGTCTCTGTGCTGACAGCTAGTTCAGCGCCTGGAGCTTGCTTCAGATTCTGCGTCTCCCTCTCTCCCTGACCCTCCCCTGTTCATGATGTGTCTCTCTCTCAGAAATAAATAAAAAAATTTAAAAAAAGGAAGAACATAAAGCCTTATTTTAAAAAAAGAGCACTGTAATCTGATATACATATACATAGGTGTTTGAAAACAATGTATCAAATATTTTGTTCCTCTGCCTACCAGAAAAAGCAGGGCAGAGTGAAGCTATTCTCTATAAAGCAAAATTCTGAAATTCTATTTTAAAAGATACTCAAGTGAACGAATATGAATGGAACTCATGA